CCCCCCCAACAATTTGTGTGTGTGTATATAGATATGAAAAGTAATTTTCTCCCTCCCAAAAAATATTTTTATCAAAATTGATTTTACTTTTTGCGGCTTTGTAAAACTCTAAATGTAGTTTCTCAATATATAAGTTTTATGTACTAAAGTTAATTTGAATGTGGATAGGGATCCATTTGTTTTATCGTCGGTCAAACCTCGTAAACCGTAATTAGACCATCAAATTGGGACGGAGGGAGTACTACATACTACGACGGGAGTATGTAAATAGTTAAAACCACCATCTACCCTAACTTTAGCCAATTGAACCGGAAAAGTAACTTCAACCTTATTTATTTTAATTTTATTCTTACACAATTTAACGCACGTAATCAAGAGTTACATATGTGATTGATAAAAAAATTGACTCTTAAGACTGATAAGCTAAAAATAAGGATTACTAAAGGGACATTAATAGTTAGTATTTACAAATTAATATTTCGTGTTGCGATGGTACATATTGTGAACCATGCTAAATTGGATGATTTTGTACAACTATACAATTTCATCCCAAACGAGGGTTGAATCTATTGAACTATGAAATATTTTCTACGAATATACACAATATTTATTACTTTGTATATTAAAATGAAGATCACATAATGTGATAGTTCATCAGTAAACCGCTAGTGATATTGTAGAGAGAATAGAGAGCTAAGAGTTAGAGCGAAAGAAATATATGATATTAATGATTTCAGAATCGTTTACATCTGCCACAAAGAGGGGTATTTTAATATACTAAGTAATAAATGCTAGGTGCATTAAATGCACATACATAAGTAAGCTAATCTATGGGTGCGAGCCCTGCTAATTTATGCAGCAGTGAGTGACGTGTGGATGAGGTGTATAGGAAGATGTGTCGTGGGACGGGGAGCTTGTAGACCTCATCCTCATTGTCCCTTTGCCTTGAAAGAGATTTTATATGAGTCGTAGACCTCATGTTGGACCTGGTGTCGCTGACCGAGGGGACTCCTAGTCTCCTACGAACAGTGTATTCACCCAATGTATTTTACATGGTGGTCTTGTTTGATCTTGGTCGCTTCGTCCATGTTTGCCCTCATCTCACTGAGGAACCCTGCTGAGGGGAGTAGTCTTTTGGACCGCAGGCGAGCCCATAATCTATCACGATGATTAGTTTTTGTTGTTTATCATTGCTTCATAAGATTTATGATTAGCATTTTAGGGGTTATCTAGCTTTCTTATAGATTAGTGGCGACTACCCGGTGAAGGTTGGGGATTGAAGGTGCAGTGAGCGCCGGTGATTCCAACCAGTTGGTGCCACGATGTGGGGCAACCCCTTATGTCCATCCACCGCTCAGTAATGGGGCTCTGCACTACCGTAGTGAATCGTGGGGGTGCCCCACATGAATCTACCTTGACTTAGGGACTACAGAGTAATGGGTTAGATAGAGGATATCCACTTCCTTATCACCAATTGGTTTTAAAATAGATATGGTTGCTATTCAACCACCGAACTCTGCAGTTAAGTGAGCTCGGGGTAAGAAAGCACAAGGATGTGTGACCCACTGCAAAGTTTGTCAAAAAGGGTTGAACCGATCCAACACCACCACATTTTTTCATACATGGTATTCATTCATTGCATATTCGTTTCAAATAATGCTTAATTTTTAAATCTAACAATTAAGTGATCTCTCACATCACTTTAGTAGAAAAAAATTCAAGAAATTCATCCCAATCCAAGGTGCTACAGTTCCACTTCCTCCTGTTCTCTTCGCCAATCACACCTGGATGCCGTGCACCGACATCACTGCTGGTCTCCCTCATCGCCACGCCTATTCATGAGATAGGCCTTCAAATGTGCACCCACCTAATTCCTATGGAGCAAGAGTCTGCTCTGCGTTAAAGTGGATGGACCAAGATTACACTAAGACCAAATTTGATTCTCCTCGAGGATGATGGGCTGAATTTTCAGCAACACATTCGGGCCCGTTTGGCTCTAAAGCTAAGTTTCCAAAAATCCTCTATATTTGATACAAAAAAATCATAAATTCAAACATTTGAAAATATATTTTAAGTGGTTTAATTGCTTTTACCCTTGTTAAGCATGTGTAATTTTAACATTGAAAAACGGGCTTATGAAATCCGATCACTCACGTACACCGGGCGAGCACACACACTCGTACACTGACCGAGCACACACACTCGCGCCACCGAGTCACGTCATATGGGTGTGGCGATTAATAAGCTCTAATAAAAATGTTAATACCACACACTCTTGACTTCATACGAGTTCTTGCGTGCTCTTACCCTTTCCAAGTGCATCACACTCCGACCTCGGGGGACAAATCACCCGTTCAAAAGTTTTTACTTGCGGGTTCGAACTACTAACCTCGGGCGGCGAGTTAAACTCTTATTAGGGGCCTAGAGCCACGCTCTTCTGAGCAATTTTGTCACTTAATTGACATTCACATTTCTTGAAAAGGTTGATATACTTTAGTTCTTTGGGGTTGGATTATCCATTCGAGTGAGGAGTCTGACTCACTTACTCGCGGATTCAATCTTTCTTTCGGAGACTGGGTTGAGGCCTAACTTGGGAACTTAATGTCATTCTTTTCAAGTAGTGAGTCCGACTCACTTACACACCGAGCCGTGGTTCGACACCAGGCCTGATGCTCTATTCTACACTAGTTTCTTTTATGTGTAGGTATAACTGAATGAAGTGGGGGACTGAGGGTCTTACCGTCTTCAAGGAAGCAAATGACAAACCTGACGAGTCTGAGTCCGACGAGAAGAACAGTTCTAGCCATCCTATTCGCAGATGGCGATCATTGCAATAAAGGCTGAGGATCTCACCTCTTGCTTCATCTTGGGGGCGTTAAATGTACTCTTTTTCCCTTCATTAGGATTATTTCCCTTAGGGTTTTTTCCTAATAAGGGTTTTTAATGAGGCATCTCCCCAACATGGATAAGGGCTGGGATTTTCTAGTCTCGGAGAAGAGCAACTGACTTGGACTACTCCCTCTTAGCCGAGTCTACTACTCGACTAATGGAGTAGGGGACTCGTGATGGAGTAATGAGACTAGGCCCAGAGCCTAATCAGCCCAAGCCCCGAACTTGGACCCATGGATCCAAGTCCATAACCTGGAGCCTACCAGCCAGCCCAACGGGGAGCCTGTCAGTCCGGCCAACCTCCTAGCCCGGAAGAGTAACGGTCGAGCAATTAATGCGCTATTAATTATGTATTTAATTCTGTATTAATGTTGTAATTAATTAGTCATTATTATCGGTAACGGTTACAATTTGTATACGCCTATAAAAGGCGGGTTGTAATTCAGATTATGGGAGGCAACTTCTATATGCTATTTCTGGCTATCAAATCCCCTTTGCAACTTTCCTTATTCATATTACTTTCTTAATTCCCGCTTGAGTGTCATACGTAGCTTTCCTAAAAGTCTACGAGCGTCCTATTTTGGACCAACAAGTGCCATACCACGACCATACTTGATAAAGACCAAATTGCAATCACGGTTCAAGTCAAAAGTAAGTTGAAAGTCGCGTAACATTGATTCCTCCCCAAGTACAAAATACCTCTTTTCGTGTCCAATGATGGAAAACAAGCAAAAAGGATGTGCAAAAATAATCAAAATAAAAATAGAAAAGAGTAGTTCAATCATAGATGGTAACAATGTATCTTCAAACATAGATTGACTCAAGCCTAGGATGAACAGGAATAGATGGTATAACATTTTTTTAAATCAAGAAGTAATTCATTTTTTTTGTCAATAGAATAAGCAAAATAAGTATTTCTAAGTAACTCATTTTGCTGACATGGATTTACTAAATATTTTTTCCTTTCTAAAATTCAAAAGATCCAGGCTTATGAGGCAAACTACCCTTGCCAAAAAGGCACTTTCTGCCTTTGGAAACTTTCTTTCGAGAAGATAACTTGAAAAGTAGCCTATCTGGGCTGTTAATAGTCCGGTCTTGGATGAGATTATAGCTGAACAAACATAGATTAAAACCTATAAACTATTCACTACCTCCCATAAAATTATTTAAGAAATTGCTAAGAGGTTACTTTGGAAGCCCTGTAAAAAAGACATCTTCTCCACCCCCATTGTAATACACAGGGGAACTTTTCCCGTGCATCGCACCATACGGAGAACACATTATTTGGGTTTCGGGCAGAAAAACGCAGCGGAATAAACAAAAAAATACTGCCCAAAAGTAAACAACTGGATCTGAGGTTCTTACTATAAACGAAATTACAAGATATAAGAGGGACTTACATAGCTATCTTAAGCAAGGATGTCAGACAGTCCGAGAAAACAATCCCGGGTAGAAAGCTCTACCGGTATCCACAAGCACGTGACTGGATCGGCCACAGGGAACGTGCTAGCGTTCTCTTCTCTCTCTCTCTAGGTTTTGAGATGTGAATTTTAACTCTTTTAAATTCGTGGGTCTCCTTAGCCCTATTTATAAGAGGAGGATAGAACGAGTTTTATAGCTAATAAAACTCTCCTGGAAGCCCTAGTCCAATACCATTCGAAAACCTACTTCGAATTGGGCTAATCAGGCTATTTTAGTGTTATTAACGAACATTAATGATCCAAATCACTTAGGTGTGTGACCCTGTAGGTTTATATATCGTTGGCAGTGGGCTAGAAAATTAATTCAAACCTCACAAATCATAAGCGGCCTCTAGCAAGGCATTATGACTATCTGTTAGATCCCTAGATTTTGATAAACAGTTTTGATGATGCCAAAGCTTTTCAAATGTCCTCCTTCTTTCGTAGCATTTAACTTAAATAGTTCTACATGATGTATTCCGGCAGTTGGCTAAGCTAGTAAAGTATTATTTGAAAGTGTTATGTTTAAAGTGTCAATTATCAAATAAATTTAACTGGAAAATACAAAATGCAATAAGATAATATTTTATTACCTTAAAAGGATTTCTTATAGACCTTACCAGTTAAATTCATTTGATACATCCAATAACACAAAAACATTTCGAACAAACTACTTATTAAACTGGAACACAAAATACAATAAGGTAATGATTTTTACCTTAAAAAGATTTGTTATCCTACCAGTTAAATAAATAGTTCATGTTCTAAATACTAGCTGGAGTGATAGAAAGACAAAAGTAAAATGTTTGTGTCAAGTAAATTATACCGGAAAAGTCAAAATGCAATAAGGTAATTTATTACCTTAAAAGGATATTTAAATCCTACCGGTATATATTCACTTTATCACAAACGTTTTAATCCGTCACTAATTGAGAACAAATAAATGTATAATTTTTAAGACTAATAAAATTTATACCGGAAAGTAAAAATGCAATAAGGTAAAATTCATTTACATTAAAAGGATGTTCGAATCCTACCAGTATAAATTTTATCAGACTCAAAAATTAACTGTTCGATTTTTGTTATATCACCTCGTGATTATCCGGAGCCAATCAAAGGAATCCCAGCATGGAGAGATTAATGCAAAGACGTACAACATGGGATGCGCAGTCAACTTGAAGCCTATATATAAAGGGGAAAGCTACAGTGGCTAGGCAAACAAGACAAGAGAACTTATCGACTCCAAAGAAGAAGACGAACAACAAGTTGTTATCTTCTGAAACAAAGATTCAACGTACAAGATTAATTCATCTCAACCAACGGATGAGATTAATCTACCGGAGACGCCTATAAATGAAGGCCGAAGCATGAGTTCGAAAACAAGTTCTTGAGTTCAAAAGCAGAGAAATCCTATAAGCATTCAAAGAATATCTAGCAAAAGAGAAAGTGCTTAATCACAACCTCACTCTCTGCTTTGACTCATGCTTCACTAAGCTCTTAGACTAGATCATCATTTTCATATTTTTAGAGCTTAGTTTTTAGTTGGAGACCAAAATTTTCTTGTAGTATACAAGGTGTTGTTGAACACTTCAGGAGGACAGTTGTTCCCGGCCTGAGTGTGGTTAGATAGGTTAGGAGTACCTTTTGATCCCCACTGGATCAATCGAGAAAAACCTAAAGGATTGAGTAGCTTGGAGTGGTGTTGTACTCCTCGTGAAACACCTTCAATTTAGGCCAGAGTTGTCAAGGCTAGATTGACACTAAGTGTATTGGGCTTAACACATTAGTGAAATCCATTTGAAATAGGATGTGACTGGATGTAGGAGGATTACACCACCTCTGAACCAGGATATATTGTGTGTTGATTTACCTTCAGTCAACATAGCACACACCCAACACTTCTCAATAAAGAAATCGTAGTTTGCCAGCAGAATCCTAAGCAGTAGTCTTAATTGATTCTACTGCTTATCCTACTGCTTAATAACCTACTGATAAGTCCATTTTGTACTTATTTTTCTTATCAAATTTAAGTGATTTTGGATTGAAAAATAGAAAAATAAGGCATGTTTTATATATTTTGGTTCAAGTTTCGTGAAATCGGGTAAAAAAATCACGTCCATGATATGTTTGACGAAATTTCGGGTCAATTAAGCACACAATGAGTCAATTTGAGTGAAAAATGATATCATACCGAAAGAAGGAAGCAGAATTTCAAAGTGGTCCCGAAGGGAAAGTTGAAGAGCAAAAAATACAGAACAAGACAGACAAAAAATCTCACAGGCGCCCAAATAGGCGCCCAGATTGGCCACCTTCCAGGTCGCCTACGCTATTTTTGGAAAGTCAGCATTTTTGGAATTTTTGACCGGACCGGAGAAGACCGAAGGCTGCCGACACTGGACGGAAGGCGGCCGCCTTCGGTGACCACCTGCGGCACAAGGCGACAAACCAACCACCGGCCGGTGGGATTTGACGGCAGGCGGCTAGACAGGAACGGCAGGCGGCCGCCTGCTGGACCGCCTGCGGCGGATGAATGGACCGGCGCACGTTCGACTGCCGGTGATGGGATGAAAGGCGGCCGGAGCAAGGTGGTAGGAGGCCGCCTGGTTGGCCGCCTACGGTATTTTTGCTGCTATAAATAGCCCAATTTTTCCTCATCCCAAACACACCATTCTTAGCCCGAAACTAGTTCAAAAAAGTCTTCTTCTTCCTCTTCAAAGCTTGGATTTCCACCATTGTTGCACCTTCAACTTCAATCTTTCATATCTTTTTCATTTTAGCTCCAATTTGTAAGTTTTTTATATGAAAATTCATCCTCTCGTCGTGTAGATTCTGAATATATTGTTTTTATTTCCCAAATATTTGTGAAAAATTCTCTGAATTAATTTTAATAGTTTCGTGTTTTCCATTTTAATTCAAGAAAATTAGATCTTGTTGTTATATTAATCTCCTACTTAGACAACCTCAATACCTAGTGTTGGCATATTGACCCGGAGGCCCAATACCCGGATTAAAAAGGCCCAGGATACCCGGCCCAAACAACGAGTCCATTACCCTATGATTAGTAGGCCCAGTGAAGAACCCATACCGAACGGGGTTTGGTCCAAGTAGAGGCCGGCCCAGAAAGCAGAAATACCGAACGGAGTTCGGGTCATATATCATACTTGGGCCAATTTGGTAGCATCTTCCGCATGGTCCAGCATCCCGTTCGAGCAACGGGCAATCAGCAAGTGGCCAGGTGCAATTAATGCCAGATGGTGACATCAACAAGTGGAAACATGGGTGATCAAGTCGGTGAAACAACAGCCAATCAGCATAGAGCAGCCCATGCTCTCCATTAGTATAAATAGAAGGTTTAATATCATTGTAAGGGTTAACATTTCAATACTCAAGCTCTAGAATAGCATTCTTACTCTTGTTTCCTGTATTAAAGCACTGTTCCGACCTACCGATCGGGAAGTTTCCTTGTAATCAGACAGGTTAATTAATACAAGTGGGATTTTGGGTATTAGTGGATTCATCTTTTATATTTTGTTATACACTTTGATTCTGATCCATTTCTGATATATCCAAAGTTCGTGTTGGGCTTTCGGATCTACGAGACTTACCTTCAACATTGGCGCCGTCTGTGGGAAACTGTTCAAAAAGTTTCACATTCAATTATTCCAAAACAACTATTTTTTGAAAATGGTCAGAATCAGTTCTTATCACACAAATGATGGTTCACGCTGTCACGGAAGGAGTCACACCCCGAGAAATCATGTAGCACCATCCCCAAGCATATTTACTTTTAGTAAATTATGTAATAAACCTTGAAGGATGATTTATGAATTCGTGTAATTGTAAATTTTTATTATTTCTTTTACGTGAATAGTAAATTGCATGTGGGGCCCACGCCCGGACCGGGGGGCCGCCCGATAATTCCCGAACCACATATTAAATTCATCTTGGTCTAGATGACATCTACATGGAGGTGGATATTTTATTTGGGCCATAAGAAAGGCATGGAGTTCACCGGTTGGTCAAACGGGGCCCAATTACCGGTATTGGTAATTTAGCGGATAAAAGCCCGAAATGAGTTTCGGAGACTCCTAAATTAATGTTGGGGAATGTACATCTATTTTAAAGGCCCATAATTATTGGGAACGCGTGATATATTTTATTTGGTCCGATAAAATAAAATATGATTAAAACGGGCCGAGAAATACAACTTTCGGGGCCGATTGTACACACCGGGACATAATGGGATGACCTCTCACATTAGGGGGGCCACCCCACGTCCTCATGTGTCCTAGTTGACTAAGGGAAGGCTGGAAGGGACATGAATTGAGGGGTGTGCGGACTGAATTGATGAGGGATGGCCAAAGGCACCATCACACCTCCTAAGGCCCTACTCATGCATTATTTTGATGCTTGATTGAGTAGAGTGGCCTTCCACCTCTCTTGCACCATCCGAACAACCCAAGAGGAGAAATACTCCAGGAAAGTTTCTCAACATACCTGCAGTTGGAGGGAGCAACAAGGAGGATAATCCATAGAGGAAAAAGCTAAGCCTTGAGGTAAGAAAACATATGGTTCTATTAACTAGTTTTATCATGGATGATTTTTAAGAAATCATATGGAGGATTAAACATGATGTTCTACACGTTTATAAGTGTAGAATATTGATATAAAGTGGGGGTATTTAACTTAGAAGGGTTGGTGAATCGATAGGAGTCGAAATCGCCGGAAACCGCCACATATAGGGAGCTGTTCGTAGTTGCAGACTACGAAAGCCGCCCGGCTTTCGTGAAAGCCGCCCGGCTTTGGCCCAGCAGTCCAGATTTTCACTTTCAATCGGCCTAGAACGGGGATTGATCGAGGAGCTTAGCAAAGGCAACTATTTCAGCACTTCATAAGGTGAGGATGGCTGACTATATTGCTTATAATTAGCGAGTTAATTTCATAAGATTGCCTAAAGTAATTAGATGGGATTTTCATGGATTATTAATGATTAATAATGCCTAAATGAAAATGATATTGATATGAGTAAGTGAAGCATAATATACAAATTTAGAATAATTGTGTATGATTATGTGAAATAAATGGAACGGCATATTAATGGAATTACTATGATGACATTGTGATAAAATATACTTTACGCCATGTATGAAATTCATGAACGGAGTAAAGTGATATTTTTGATATTGAGATCAAACTATACTTGTGTTGAGAAATCAATTGAAATGAAAAGTCAATTGGAAAATAGGAACTTGGCATGTTCTAAGATTTTCCAATTAGTATCAAAATACTAGTCGGGGAATTAATATAAATAAATGATGAAACAAATCCTAAGAGGTAGGATTGTGAATAGATATGCCTTAAGTAGTCTCAAGAGATACTTTAAGGTTGAATTGTGTGAACACTAAGGTGTGATAGGGGTAGGCCTAAAGGCTACCTACGGAAATTGATTCTAGGCATAGGATTTGCTTGAGAATTTGATTATGAAAATAATTAGAGTCGGACTCTAGGATGACATGGAAATGTAGTTGGGCCGAGCTCATGCCATGTAATATGATTAGCATGGAAACGTAGTTGGGCCGAGCCCTTGCCATGTATATGTAATCTCCGTGGAAATGTAGTTGGGCCGAGCCCTTCCCACAAAGTTATGGTTGGTATGGAAACGTAGTTGGGCCGAGCCCTTGCCATACAAATTTTGATATGATATATTGAGTTAGAGGATTGTATAGAAATGTAGTTGGGCCGAGCCCATGCTATACAATTGGGGCTCGATGGGACCCCACGGGGTTATCGTGACTTGCGGTCACGGGGGAATGGAAATGAGGAATTCTAAACGAATATGGTCCCACGGGCCGACTACTTGACTCTATATGTAGTAAGTACAGTTAAGAGAAAAAAAGGGGTAACCGAGGGTTATGGCCTATAATATAATAGCACCCTAAGTTGAGGGTCTTAGAAATTAAAACATCAATTATACTTAGTATAGTTGCTATTGTACTTGTCAAATATTTCCAAGTACTGACCTCCCCTTCACGGGGGAGGCCACCTCACAGTTTCAGGTAGAACTTGAAGGTTGCTGCCACCGCCCGTTGCTTCGCGAAGATCAAAGGAAGAAGACGTGGTTCGTGCTTCTTCCGTTTCTGTTTTGAAAACAATTTAAATAATGCTCATGGATATTGTTTTTTGAATAATTATTTGGGGCTTGTACGCCCATGATTGCCAAGGTGTGGCACAAACACTTACGTTAAATGTTTCCGCTGCTATAAATGTTTATTTTACATTATGTTTGTTTATGGATGTACTATGTGTGAATGGTATTCAAGACGCCTTGTATAGTATGGATGAGTCGGACTGCGGTTGACTATTCGTACTGTACGGCGGGTTGTTGACGTTTCCGGGTAGGTCCGGGGCGTGACTGTAACACTTGAGATTTAATTTAAACGGATTAATAGTACTACTCATACCAACAAGGTGCATCTCCTTTTAAGGGAGCTCATTAGCCAAGAACTCCAAAGTTAAGCGTGCTTGCACGGGAGTAGTCTTGGGATGGGTGACCCCCTGGGAAGTTTCTCAGGGCGCGCACGAGTGAGGACAAAGTGCGCGGAAAAGGCTAGTGGCGGTTTGTGAGGACAGTACTAGAGGTCAGAAGTAACTACCTCGGGGCCTACGGGGCCGGGGTGTTACAAGTGGTATCAGAGCAACCCTGCGACAGTGTGCTGATCCGTTGGATATCGGGCGGGCACTTAGCAGGGGAAAAGATTCTGGGATATGATTGAGATTGGTTTATGGGCGCAACGAGGACGTTGCGTTCCTAAGTGGGGGTGATTGTAACACTTGAGATTTAATTTAAACGGATTAATAGTACTACTCATACCAACAAGGTGCATCTCCTTTTAAGGGAGCTCATTAGCCAAGAACTCCAAAGTTAAGCGTGCTTGCACGGGAGTAGTCTTGAGATGGGTGACCCCCTGGGAAGTTTCTCAGGGCGCGCACGAGTGAGGACAAAGTGCGCGGAAAAGGCTAGTGGCGGTTTGTGAGGACAGTACTAGAGGTCAGAAGTAACTACCTCGGGGCCTACGGGGCCGGGGTGTTACAGTGACAATTTAATTGGTATCAGAGACTTAGTCCGTAAACATCATAATGAAGCTTCCAAATTTCTTTTTGAAAATGAATTTGAAAACCATGAGCATAAGGTTTTGTACTTATAGAACTTTTGGTACTTGAGTTGCAATGTCTCTAATTGTTAAGATGGTACCCTTAGCAATTGGTATGGCGGTGATTTGAGCCAAAGGATGTCTTTAAGTACCTATCCGTCAATTGACATTTGATACGAGTCTAATGACTCATTCTCAATTTCTTTCAGAAATGGAACGTACCGGGAAAGTGACTAGAAGAAACCCGACTGGCCGAGCACCGGGAGGATTCGTGCAAGGCAGTAGAGGGGCTTCTAGGGTGTCCAGAGGACAGGGCCGTGGAGGCCAAGATCAGACCGTGAGTGACAGTTATGTTGAAACAGTCAACGAGTCTTATGAGTCCGAGGAGGATTCGACATATCAACCGGGAACTGAGCCGGTTGAGACCCCATATGATGGGGAATATGATGACGCCAGTGAGGGGAGCGACGATGATGACACTCTAGAAAGGATGGAGGAACTACTCCGTCAATTTCAACAGGATCGCCAAAGACGCCGGGCAAGGCGTGCTTTGGGAGGGGTTTCAAGAAGGGGAAGCCATGTGGGTTCTAGGGGACATGTGGAGTCCCGAGTAGATCGAGGTGTCGAGGTCCCGATAATAAGGATCTCGAAGTACCTCAAAGAAGCAAGAGATTTGGGGTGTAAACCGTTCGATGGAACGGGAGATATATCCGTTGCGGCAGAGTGGATCAAGCGGTTCAATGAAGCGGCCCTTGATATGCAGCTGCCGCCAAACATGAAGATGAGAGTAGCAACGAGGTTGCTAGAAGGGATGGCGTCTACATGGTGGGACAGTGTCAAGGGGAAGTACGGTGAGGCCGTAACTTGGGAGAATTTCCGACAGGAATTCTTCAACCAATACTACTCCGACTTCGAGGTGAACTTGAAGAGGAGAGAATACACCAACTTGACCCAAGGAGGCAAGTATACCGTGAGGCAACTTGAGCACAAGTTCAGGGAGCTCGCGGAGTTCATACCGGAGTATGCTTGTGATGAGAACCGGATGGTGAATCACTTTTGGGATGCTTTAGACTTAGACGTGCGTGAACGGGCAACACAATTGCCTAACATGACGTTTAGTCAAGTGGTGGAGCAAGGCCTGAAAGGGGAGAAGGAATGGGAAGAAAGAAAGCTGAAAAACGCCGAGGAGGCGAAGAAGAGGAAATGGGAGAACACCGGCCCCCAAGGTTCTAGCAAGAAGGGGAACCACGGGGGAGGTGGGTCTTTCAGAACGCCCGCACCACCATCTAGGGGGAATCAAGGCCCAGGAGGGCAAGGCTCGAGGTCGCAAGGCTCGGGCATTAGCAGGTCCAATAACTGCAAGAGGAACCACGCGGGCAAGTGCCGCGATCCCCCTAGGTGCTACCAATGCGGGGAGACGGGACACTTGAGATCAAACTGCCCACAACTTGGGCGAGCCATGGGTGCAGGACCTAGCAGCGGGACTACGGCAAGTAGGAACCGAGCAGGGGCACTTCACGCGAGCACGGCGCACGGAGGGCCAAGTACAAGTAACGCGCCATCCGTGAACCAAGGCAAGACCCAGGCTAGGGTCTATGCGATGACGGAGGCGGACGCACGTGCTAACCCGGACTCCGTGGCGGGTAAAATCTTAAACTCATGTTATTAACTCCATTGTATGCAATATGAGTGTTTGTAATGTGCAAAATTTGTAACCCCGACGGTTTGGTCGGGATTGTAGGGGAAAGGGGAGGAAAAATCCCCGCCCTGGGCGAATGCCGCCCGGCATTTGACGAAAGCCGCCCGGCTTTCGTCTTGATTTATTGGGAAAATACTGCGGCGACGAATGCCGGCCGGTTTCCACCAAAAACCGCCCGGCTTTCGTCAACTTTTTATCAGGAAAATCCTCGCAACCAAAAACCGGCCGACTTTTGTAAAGACCGGCCGACTTTCATAAATGCCTGACCTGGGAAATTTCTCGCAGCTGAAAGCCGCCCGGCTTTGGCGAAAGCCGCCCGGCTTTCGTTGGGCCTGGGGATTCCTGCACTGCTGAAACCCGGCCGGGTTTCGTAGAAACCGACCGGCTTCGAAACCCATTCCATGAATAAAAACTGCGGCGACGAAAACCGGCCGGCTTTCGTGGAAGCCGCCCGGCTTTCGTGATTTACATACAAGGATTTTTCTCGCAGACGAAAACCGGCCGGCTTTCGTGAAAAGCGGCCGACTTTCACTTGGTTCAGTCCTAGAGCGGTTCTAAAGGTTAGAAACCGGGGAATTTCGGGAGGGTGTCGAACAGACTTCACCCGAACCACGACCAACATACTCTACGACTTAAGAAACAAGCCTATTAATTAGATAGTGTGTCTTACATTACTTATGAATGTAGGAACACTAAAGATAAACGGGAGAGACGCAAGGATCCTTATTGATACCGGGGCGCAACGATCATTTGTGAGTGAGGCGTTCGCCAGCGGATTCAACGGACCACATGTACCGATGACTCAAACCCTATTGGTGTCCACGCCTCTAGGGGATGATATCGAGAGAGATAGCCACTATGCATCGTGTGAGGTGGAGGTGGAGGGACAGAACTTGACGTGTGATTTCGTACCGCTGAGTATGATCGAGTTTGATGCAATCCTCGGGATGGATTGGCTTGAGAAACATCATGCTAGGGTCGATTGCTACACAAAGATTCTTGAACTCGAAGGCGGTGAAGGGTTGACCTTACGCTTCGAGGGAGATAGAGGCAAATCAAACAGTTGTATCATATCCGCCGTGAGGGCGAGAGATATGATGAGAAAGGGATGCCACGCATACCTAGCGTATGTGGTGGACAAAACCAAAGAAGAGATAGACATCAATGATGTGAGAGTAGTGTGCAAGTATCCGGATGTCTTCCCAAAAGACTTGCCGGGACTTCCACCCGATAGGGAGATTGAGTTCGTGATCGAGGTTGAACCTGACACCAAACCAATCTCTATACCGCCATACAGAATGGCACCCGCTGAACTTAACGAGTTGAAAACCCAATTGCAAGAGCTATTGGATAACGGTTTCATAAGGCCGAGTCACTCTCCGTGGGGAGCACCGGTCCTTTTCGTGAAAAAGAAAGATGGAACACTTCGAATGTGCATTGATTATCGCCAACTGAACAAGGCCACAATCAAGAATAGGTATCCCTTGCCTAGGATTGATGACTTGTTTGATCAGCTCCGAGGAGCGACGGTATTTTCGAAAATTGACTTGAGGTCGGGGTACCACCAACTGAAAATAAAGGAGAATGACATACCGAAAAGTGCATTCCGCACGAGGTATGGTCATTTCGAGTTCCTAGTTATGTCATTCGCGTTAACCAACGCCCCGACGGCATTTATGGACTTGATGAACCGAGTATTTCATAAATACTTGGACCGGTTTGTGATTGTGTTCATAGATGATATCTTGATTTACTCAAAGAGTGAAGAAGAGCATAAGGAGCACTTGATACTTGTTCTTGAGACATTACGGGAGAAGCAACTCTATGCCAAGTTTTCCAAATGTGAATTTTGGCTAAGGGAGATTGGCTTTCTCGGGCATGTGATTTCAGGATCAGGGATTGCCGTAGATAACAAGAAGATTGAGGCCATTACTGAATGGGAGAGGCCAAGGAACGTCAAGGAAATTCGTAGCTTCCTTGGATTAGCAGGGTATTACCGAAAGTTCGTGGAGAAGTTCTCAGTTTTGGCGTCGCCATTGACGAAGCTCACTCGAAAGGGGGCCAAGTTTGTATGGGATGACCGATGTGAGAAGGGATTCCTTGAACTAAAGAAGAGATTGACCGAGGCACCGGTACTTGCATTACCCCGACAGGGTATGGGGTACGATGTCTATAGTGACGCGAGCATCCAAGGGCTTGGATGTGTCTTAATGCAGGATGGGAGGGTGATTGCCTATGCTTCACGACAATTGAAGAAGCATGAGGTAAATTATCCTACTCATGATTTAGAGTTGGGGGCAGTGGTATTTGCGTTGAAGATTTGGAGTCATTATCTCTACGGGGAAACATGTCATATATACACTGACCACAAAAGCCTGAAATATGTGTTTACTCAGAAAGAGTTAAACATGAGACAGAGACGGTGGATGGAGTTGATAAAAGACTACCATCTAGTTATCGAGTATCACCCCGGTAAAGCCAACGTGGTAGCGGATGCCCTGAGCCGAAAGAATTCGTCTGGGGCATTGTTGACTAGTTTGAGGGCATTGAGAGCCCGATTGGAGGTATCTAGTGACGGTGCTTTGTTAGCTAGATTCGAGGTGAGACCTACATTACTTGATGAGATCAAGAATGGTCAAGAAACTGATGAAGAGCTCATGAAGGTCCGAGAACGCATGCTAGCGGGACCGGTTGAGGATTTCAGGGAAAGAGACGATGGTCTCTTATTATTTCGTGACCGAGTGTGCGTACCGTCAGATGATGGGCTCCGAAAGTCCATCTTAGAGGAGGCCCATTCATCGGCATATGCCATGCATCCGGGGGGCACGGAGATGTACCGTGATTTGAAAGAAAGTTACTGGTGGTCGGGTATGAAGAGAGAAATAGCCGAATACATCAGTAAGTGTCTTACTTGTCAGCAAGTTAAGGCAGAACATCAGCATCCAGCTGGGTTGTTACAGCCATTATCCATTCCTGAATGGAAATGGGAACACGTGACTATGGATTTCGTGGTAGGGCTGCCACGGACGATTAAGAACTATGACGCCGTATGGGTTGTGGTTGATAGGCTCACGAAGAGTGCACACTTTCTACCTATCAACACCACCTATGCATTGGAAAGGTTAGCCAAGTTGTATGTGGATGAGATCGTGAGACTACATGGAGTTCCTATAACCATTGTATCCGATAGGGATCCGCGATTCACATCACGATTTTGGCCGAAGTTCCAAGAATCTATGGGGACAAAACTGAAATTCAGTACAGCTTTTCATCCACAAACGGATGGGCAATCCGAGCGGGTTATACAGATATTAGAGGACATGCTGAGAGCTTGTGCATTGGAGTTCCAAGGGAGTTGGGACAACCATTTGGCACTCGTGGAGTTTGCCTATAACAACAGTTATCAGGCGAGTATAGGCATGCCTCCATACGAGGCATTGTATGGGAGGAGATGTCGTACACCTTTGTGTTGGGAGGAGGTTGGCATGACCAAACTCGAGAGCACGGAACTGGTAGAGATCACCAAGTCAAAGGTGAAGATGATTCGTGACAGACTTAAGGCGGCACAGGATAGACAGAAGAGCTACGCTGATAAGCGCCGGAGAGCCCTAGAGTTTAAGGTTGGAGATGAGGTATTTTTGAAAGTTTCACCTTGGAAAGGAATCATCCGATTTCAGAGCCGAGGGAAACTTAACCCACGCTACATAGGGCCATTTGTAATTCTTGAGAGAATTGGGGCCGTAGCATACCGATTACAATTGACTCCGGAATTGGAGAAAATACATAATGTATTCCATGTGTCTATGCTTAAGAAGTATATTCCGGATCCATCTCATGTACTAGAGAAACCACCCGTGGAAATACGGGAAGACTTGAACTACGCCGTTCAACCGGTAAGGATACTTGATAGACAAGTAAAGAAGCTAAGAAGCAAGAAAGTTCCAATGGTTAAAATCCTTTGGAAGAGTGACCGAGTTGAAGAAGAAACTTGGGAGACTGAAGCCTCGATGAAGGAACAGTACGCATTTCTATTTGGATAATCGTTGTGAATTTCGGGGACGAAATTCCCGTTTAGGGGGGTGAACTTGTAGCACCGTCCCCAAGCATATTTACTTTTAGTAAATTATGTAATAAACCTTGAAGGATGATTTATGAATTCGTGTAATTGTAAATTTTTATTATTTCTTTTACGTGAATAGTAAATTGCATGTGGGGCCCACGCCCGGACCGGGGGGCCGCCTGATAATTCCCGAACCACATATTAAATTCATCTTGGTCTAGATGACATCTACATGGAGGTGCATATTTTATTTGGGCCATAAGAAAGGCATGGAGTTGACCGGTTGGTCAAACGGGGCCCAATTACCGGTATTGGTTATTTAGCGGATAACAGCCCGAAATGAGTTTCGGAGACTCCTAAATTAATGTTGGGGAATGTACATCTATTTTAAAGGCCCATAATTATTGGTAACGCGTGATATATTTTATTTGGTCCGATAAAATAAAATATGATTAAAACGGGCCGAGAAATACAACTTTCGGGGCCGATTGTACACACCGGGACATAATGGGATGACCTCCCACATTAGGGGGGCCACCCCACGTCCTCATGTGTCCTAGTTGACTAAGGGAAAGCTGGAAGGGACATGAATTGAGGGGTGTGCGGACTGAATTGATGAGGGATGGCCAAAGGCACCATCACACCTCCTAAGGCCCTACTCATGCATTATTTTGATGCTTGATTGAGTAGAGTGGCCTTCCACCTCTCTTACACCATCCGAACAACCCAAGAGGAGAAAGACTCCAGGAAAGTCTCTAAACATACCTGCAGTTGGAGGGAGCAACAAGGAGGATAATCCATAGAGGAAAAAGCTAAGCCTTGAGGTAAGAAAACATATGGTTCTATTAACTAGTTTTATCATGGATGATTTTTAAGAAATCATATGGAGGAGTAAACATGATGTTCTACACGTTTATAAGTGTAGAATATTGATATAAAGTGGGGGTATTTAACTTAGAAGGGTTGGTGAATCGATAGGAGTCGAAATCGCCGGAAACCGCCACATATAGGGAGCTGTTCGTAGTTGCAGACTACAAAAGCCGCCCGGCTTTCGTGAAAGCCGCCCGGCTTTGGCCCAGCAGTCCAGATTTTCACTTTCAATCGGCCTAGAACGGGGATTGATCGAGGAGCTTAGCAAAGGCAACTATTTCAGCACTTCATAAGGTGAGGATGGCTGACTATATTGCTTATAATTAGCGAGTTAATTTCATAAGATTGCCTAAAGTAATTAGATGGGATTTTCATGGATTATTAATGATTAATAATGCCTAAATGAAAATGATATTGATATGAGTAAGTGAAATAAATTGATTATGTGTATGATTATGTGAAATAAATGGAACGGCATATTAATGGAATTACTATGATGACATTGTGATAAAATATACTTTACG